CTTTAAGTAAACCTCCTTTTGTTAACTTTTTCACCCCTCCAAAACTCTCCTCCTAGCCTGGCCTCATCAGAACTGCTGAAATCTCAAATTTCTAGATAGCTTACTTTTTAGTATATAGTCCCACAGAGCTTGACTAATTCCTTCAGCCAATCATTAGCTATTTCCTGAGTTGTATAAGTTGGCCAATGGCCAGTATCCAATGGCCAAGTCTCCATAAACCCTCTCAGGGACTTTTTCACATCTTGGGGTGGGGTTGAAGGAAGACTCCTTAACCCTTCCTTCACATGAATAAGTAGAGATTTCAAGAGATAGAGAAAAGGAAGGTACATCCAAAAGTGTTTAATAACTAGTAGTGCTATAATGATTTCTATGGACCATAGCTTTTATTTTTCTGCCAAGTCTGATGACGATGTACTTACACTGAGAAACTAAAACAAAAATCCAAACGCAAACAGCAGAGTCTAGTCAACCTGGCTTCCTGCTGGCACATTCCATTGAGTAAACTTACTGAAAAAACTCTGCCTGAGTCATTAGCAAGATTAGAGAGAACATACTTTCAGGGAACTGTAGCCATTGAAACACTACAGTGAACATTTTTTCACAACAACGAGGTTGTGTCAAGTTCTTGAGTTAACTGTGTTGTCTTTACTCAGGGAGGGTTTGGTTCTGCTCTTAGATACACACATAATTCCTACTGACAAGTCAGAACTTGTTACTTTGTTTTCCTCTTCAATAAGCAGCACTTTAGGGAAGCTATTCTCCAAATCTGTCTGTCTATTTATCTATCTATCTGTCTGTCTGTCTATCTTATGCACATATACAATTACTTGTGCCCAACACACTGGAAAAGAAAAGCTTGAAGAAAAGCAGAATCCATGGCCCAGTACCCCATACTCCAGGTTTACATATGATCAAGTCTGATGAGGGAGAGGGGGGGGAGAATGATCTCAATAAATCATCTACTCTTTGATTTAATATGCCACCTCAAAGAGTTAACTTAGAGAAATCTCATAATAACATTCATGTCTGGGTCTCCACAGACATGGATAAAATAATTTCCCATAATTTCCCATAAACTCAAGTTAATATTGTATATATTATCCTGGGTACAGGATAGCCTTTATTCCACCCCACAGAAACTACAGAAAATGCAAAGGATTCACAAGAACTCATACACAAAGTAGAAACTTATGTTAAGGACCCACAGTAGCCTATAACCAATCAAAACTATCTTCCCTTTCTGATGTGTGCTACTTTCCACAAGGTCCTAAAGTCCCATATAATCATAGTATCACAGTGTTGTTTGGACTATTGTTGGAAGGGGAAAGTAATTTGGGCTGCTAGACAAGCAACTCTCCTTTCCGTACAAGCAACAATGATAGAAAAGTGCAGAGTCCAAATCCCTTGGTCCCTCATATCATGGCTTTAGTCCCATGGCTCCTCCAGCACCAAGGGCCATAAGTGTCTTCTTCTCTCACCAAAGGCTGCTCTACTAAGGAATTCCCATTCTCTCACTGGATAGAGAGATAGAGTAGATAGATGGAGAGACACAGAGAGAGACAGAGAGAAAGAGAGAGAGAGAAAACAAAGTAACAAGTTCTGACTTGGTAGTAATTGTGCGTGTGCGTGTGCGTGCACACGTGCATATGTGTGTGTGTGTGTGTGTGTGTGTGTGTGTGTGTGTGTGTGTGTG